TATAATCTATTTAATATTTATTTAAATAGGTTTACAAGTTGTTAGTTGTATATAGGTATCTTCTATCATAACTAAATACTGTTATCAATGTAATACAAACCATGATATAAAGAAATATATGTCATTTTTAAAAATGTTTCTTATAATATTTTAACAAATAATAACTTTTCTGTAATATTAATTTAATTGTATAAAGTAATTAAATACCACACATTTATTTTATATATGGCCTGTTACACATGATATGTAACTTAGATGTTAAYACAGAAGTAATTTATGTACTTACATATCTTATCTATAAATATATATTGATGTTACTTCTTACATGTAATTATTCATTTATGTTTAGAAAACTGACACAATAACAGTTTTAAATGATGAAAATAATAGAAAAATAGACTTTAATATTTCAACCTCAATTGTGAATATAATTCAGATGAATAAAATACAGGAGTATTTAAAATCTGGTTCATCTAACTCTCCTCCAGGTGAAGCGTTTCAAGCATTGGATATTGTTTTGAAAAACCGACCATTTTCATTAAGGTTGGTAAAATATGTTGTCTTATAAACGTACAAAATTAATCGCGGACGTTTCGCCCCCGCCTTTTCGTCCCCGTCAAAAAAACCCGTCCCCAGCAATTTTTAAGATAGGACGTTTGGTCCCCGGCATATTTTGATAAGTACTTTAATTTTAAATGACAATATTACAATTTACAAAATTACAAATACATAATCAATATTCACACAATATAATTATACAAATAGTCAAAATTTAAATAAATCACAATTATATTAGGTCATATTAAATTTCGTAAAAATTAATAAATTTTTAGTCAGCTGCAGACTTATTTTTTTAAAATAATATAAAATGTCATTATCGTTATTATAGTTAAATGTTGTACAAAATGACTGTAATTTCTTTTCCTTAAAACTAAGTATTTTCGGTACATTTATTATTTCATTTTGTTTTTGTACCAATGCAGTCGTTGCAGACACATTGCACATCTGTATTGATTCAATAAATATATATAAATTAGGATGTTTAATTCTTACAATATTTTTTAATTTACTGAATGTCCTTTAATCAAAATATGCCGGGGACCAAACGTCCTATGTCTTATAACTCTCCGGGACAAAATGACCTATCTTAAAAATTGCCGGGAACGAAACGTCTGTTTACCGTACAAAATAGAAAATTTTAATGGTAAAATTATTATCCAGAGCATCTTTGAGGCATTTGTTTGATATTTTAATTTTAGAGTAAGGTAAAACAAGTATTTTTAAAATGTATATAAATTGCTTTGTATATACTGGATTCTTACTACAGTTTATTTATAATTAATAGTAAAAATAAATAAATATAATGCAGTACATATATTTACATGTCATGCATGCATAACATGTATTATCTCATCACAGATGATTTCSTTTCATTTATATAAAAATATGATGTTTGAGCTGTCGATGAACCAAATTGTCTTACTATCAGTTCTGAAATGTACTTAAATGATTATTTATCAGTACTTAGAATTGTTTTATTAATTCAAATAAAATTAAAAAGGTTTTATAAGAAATCTTAACACACCTCATTTTACATAATCATGCTTMAGTTTTATGTTGTTATGTTTTATTTTTTCTTGTTGTGATTGCATCATACCTTTGACTTTTATCATATAAATGGGTAATTTATACATCAATCATAAAATGATAACAGTGCTAATTTAAAAAAATATATTCCTGTATGATAAACATATAAAAGGCTAAAAAAGCTTTAATAAATGTATAATGGAACCTCGATAACTTGAATTGGTTGGGGGCGAAAAAAAATTCAACTTATGAAATTTCACACATATGTATTGTAAGACAAAGACCAAATTCTTTTGAGTTATCGAAAATTTAACTTATGGAGGTTCAAGTTATCTATCTAGGTTCCACTGTATTTGTTAAAATTAATTTTTATTTAATTCTTGTTATTAATTAATTTTTTAAAAGCATCTATTATACTTGCCTCTGTCTAATTTCACAGAAATATCATTTGTCCTCACAATATGAGATGTACATAAAAAACTATGTTATTTTGAAGGTAAACATTTTATAAAGTTTTGAATGTTAAATTTTAATTGTCTAATACAGATTCACTAACGTTGGAAGATCATTTTTCCCACTACCACGTATTACACCTATTGACTTGGGTGAAGGAATGGAATTATGGAAAGGATTTTTTCAAAGTCCTGTTATGGGTTGGAAACCTTATCTCAATATAGATGGTAAATATAAAATAGTATATAATTAAAACTTCAATCTTCTCGTACAAATTAGATCTAGTTTTTGCTTGTGTGGGGAGAGGTGCAAATATAAGATCCTCAGCATTAAAAAAAAAAAAAAAATGAATAACCATAGGCACTTTAAATTTTCATTAAATATTTTATATAATTATATTATTGACATTTGAAATTTTTTATGAGATCCGTTAAATATAATTAAAATAACATTTTCAGTCTTTAACTTCAAAAATATAATGCAAAATAACTCTTTTTATAAATACCAATACCAGTAGTGTTGTATACAGACATTACAGACTGCCTAAGATTCAGATGTTGGTTGTTTTTTTTTTCTTCTAAAATTAATTAAATGATAGCGTATTAAATTCAAGCAAACATTGTTAAGTGTACTTATCATGTAAATTTTAACAAAATTAAAATATTTAAAGGAAAAATATTATCTGTAGAAACTTTTAACTAGACAAGTCTATAATAATTTTTATAAGTATTTAAATACATTTACTCAAGTACTTCATAAACCTGCTAATTATATTTAAATTGAGGCAAACAAGGCAGTTTGAACTCTATATCTATGTAGTCTGGCTCTATTTTTAAAATATGTTTATTTGTTAATTGAGTTTATTTATATAATTTTAGTGGCACATAAAGGATTTCCTAAGTATCAACCCTTATTGAATTTCATAAAAAATGAATTGAATTGCGATCTCAATTCAGAGATGGACCAAAGAAGTTTCAATGCATTATCAAATTACGTTAAAGGATTAAAAATTGACTTTATAGTTCCAAATCAACCTAATACAAAACGTTCATACAAGGTAGTTGGTCTCCTTGACTCTGCCTCTAAGTTTAGGTAAATACAAATTATTATTGATGTACAATATATGTATATTACAAGAAATTATGATAATACCTTATAAAAGTAAAGGAATTACACGATTTCCTAATACTTACTATCACAAAGCCTAGAATAAGAAGACTAAACTTCTTAGCTTCCTGAAAACAAAATGTTTGCACAATTATATGTCATATGAAGAGTTGTGGTCGTATTCATCACTATTTAATTACCCATGCAATATAGAAAGAAATTAGTCTTATAATTTTTAGAAGTTACAAAAATAAAAATATATAAATGTTGTATTAAGTCTTAAATTTGAATTGTATAATATTATTTGGGCTAACTAGCAAAGTAAGTTAGTTTATTGTAAAATGTAAATTTAAGTTTTATTATTACCGTTAAAGTAATTTAATTGAAACAATGACATTATTTTTATAGATTTGATATGGTGGATCCTGATAGAGGTGTACAATCGCTTAATGTTGTGCAATACTTCAAAATTACACGAAACTATGTTATCAAGCATCCAAATTTACCTTGTTTACATGTTGGAAACATTAACAAAAAGACTGCAATTCCAATTGAAGTAAATAATTATAATATGTTATTAAATACCTAATGTTAATATACTTTATACAAAATAGTTCATAATCATGATTTATTTTTCAAAAAATTTGTATTCAAGTTAAATATTTCAATACATTTTCTAGTTGTGCACCGTTCAAAGAGGACAATTGCGCTTGAAAAAATTATCTGAAGTTCAAACTGCAGCCATGGTAAGGAATGCAGCTCGACCTCCTGGAGAACGACGCCAAACTATTGAAAATTGCATCAAAGACGTTGATTACTCTAAAGATCCTGTATTGCAAGACTTTGGTATTAAAGTTAAAGAACAGTTTGCTTCAATACCAGCAAGAGTTTTGGATCAGCCCTCTTTGGCTTATGCTCAAAATAAGGTAATCTTCAAAGTATTATTGTAAAAAGTTTTGATGAAATTATTTCTGTTTCAATTAACATTGATGGTTTTAAAAATATCTAATAGGCGTGTAGGATGTATGCAATATTTTGAGTATATTAATATAAAAATGTTGGTATATTTTTATCAATACTAAAATTAAAAGAAAAAAGAAAAGTATAAAAAGACATTGTTCTATTTAATTAGTTGATATTTTGCCCTTTAGATTTATTCAGTGATCTCAAGATTTCAGTCATTATAATTGATCATACAACTATTAAAACATTAATCTCATTTTATTCATTGCATTACAGTTCAAGCTTAAAACATACAAAGTCAACTTTTGAATATACTCGGCTCATGAGATAGGTAAACTATATCATCCATGTGGACTGACAGAAGTTGCCATTCTATGGCACTGTTTCCACACTATATAATAGTTTGTGGCATGCTATACACTCTAGGTGTTGCCAATAGTTAACAACCGCCTTCAAAAGTTACCGATATTATGTCAAATAAGTGAGGCAAGTTGGAAATCGGACTCATTTTAGTCAAGATACAGCTTACTTCTCTCATGAGCCAGTGTATAGTAAAATACTATATTTTGTATTCAGTCTTTTTCTGTTCATAACTTAAATTATATGGAATAAAAAGGATAAAAATTCTTAAAATTACAAAAATTCCATAAATTATTAAAATCGTTTGGGAAAGTTGGTATATTTTTCTATCCAGCGCGACGGTAGTGGCGCGAAGCTAAGTAAAAAAAAAGCGAAGCGGTCACTACCGTAGTATATTACACGAGCCAGAGTTTGCCCATTGAATGTGTGTAAATTTGCCCGTTTTCTTTAGCCAGGGCTACAGACCTAATGAATGAAYGGATTGGTCTGTTTGTGGTATCAATAGATCGGGCATGATTTGTAGATTATACCTTTGTCATTTTCGAAAAAAT